TTTGAGAAAAGCAAAAAAAAAATTTTGTTTGATAAATAAACCTCCTAAGGGCAACAGAGCCATAAAAAAATTTCAGTCGGGGTTCTGTGGTGGATATATCCGCAATTAACCCTATAAACTATGTTCAAGCAGTAATCTTTGTTATTTATTAGATTTTGACATTTGTTACGGCTCCTTAGACATGAATACGTTTTCATTGCTCGATGACGTCGTTAATTCTAATTACACCAAACTCAATCCCGGGCAAAATAATTTTCAAATTTCATAATTTTCTCTGTTATTATTGGTTCATATATATATATATATATATATATATCCAGACTACTCTAAATTTTATTTTGCAGCATGCATGGTGCTTTTGTCAGTGTACAAAACGAACCATGCATTATCCTAAACCGTCAACGACTAATTGTAATATTTATTTTGGCCTAAAGTAACACCCCAAAAACTAATCGGACAGATTAACAAATACAACAAATTAATAGGATATATAAGAAAATAAAAGGAGGGGTAGATATTCAAATAGAGAAGACAATAGCAACAAACCAAGTTAGGCTCTTGGCAGCCGCAAGTGAAAAGCGAGACAAAATCAATTCAAGGACCAAATAAATTAATAGATTAGGTCCTCAGCAACTCTTCAGAGGTTAGTGACCGACGAAACAAAATTTTATGCATAATTAACTCACGCGCCTAATTAACATTTCCCTCGGCAGTAGACAATTAAGATGCTACTTTTGACCTACGATGAAGGTAGAAGAGGCTAATGATTTCAAGGTAAAAGCTTTCATATGAATATTCCTTTTATTAAGATTAATTAGAGATAGTTATATCTACAAATTAGAGCCCATAATATTGCTTGATTAGCTCTAGTGTTACCCTTACGCATCCTTTGGTACGCGGGAATAGACTCAAATGAGAATGAATGGAATGAAATTAATGTGAGAATGGAATAGTAGTCATTCTCATCCTCACGTTTGTGTGTAATTTATAAAATAAAGTGGGAATGAATGTAATTTAAAATTGTATATTTTATTGATTCCTATTTAAGTGGGAATGCACATTCCCTATCATTTCATTAGGAATGCTCATTCCCACATAAAGTGTGAATTGATGAGAAGTGTGAATGGACATTCTAACTTCAAAAAAGAAGTTGTGTTTGGTAGGAAAGAATGAGAAGTGAGAATAATCATTTCATTCCACCCCATTCTCGCGTACAAAACAAGGCCTTAATTTAAGGGCTTGTTTGGATTGAGGGGAATGAGGGTGAAGGGAAGTTAGGGGAACCATTCACCTCCATTCACATTGTTTGGAAACATTGAGCCTGTTTGGATTTGTAGGGGGTGAAGGGAAGTTAAGGGAAACTGAGTGAATGGAAGTTAAGGGAAACTGAGTGAAGGGAAGGGAAGAGAAAGGAATGGAGTTCTCTTCCCCTTGGTTACACCCCAATTTGGGGGTAACAAATTTTATACTATTAGGGGGTGAACCAATGGGAACTAGGGTGAATTAACTTCACCTCCTAAGTGTTCCCAAACAAGGTGAATGGATGTGAATGGTTCCCCTAACTTCCCTTCACCCTCATTCCCCTCAATCCAAACAAGCCCGAGGTGAAGTTAATTCACCCTAGTTCCTTTTGGTTTACCCCCTAATAGTATAAAAATTGTTACCCCTCAAATTGGGGTGTAACCAAGGGGAATGGAACTCCCTTCCCTTCTCTTCTCTTCTCTTCCATTCCCTTCTCTCAGTTTTCCTTAACTTCCCTTCACCCCCTACAAATCCAAACAGGCCCTAAAGGTTTACGGTTGCATATTTTAGGGAATATTAATCACTAATCCATAACCAGTCATGTCTATACTTCAGTATCAAAGTTTTGTCGGCTGATAATGATATTTGGAATCTCAAACTAATGAGCGCGAATTATTGGAGGGGGGCCTAAGCGTGGAAAACAAACGTTGAAAGTCTAAATCATGCTTCCAAGCAGTGCGACTACAATTGACTAAAAACTGAAAGCAATTTGCCAATCAATTATAACAAAATTTAATACCTGTTTTACTTTCACAAAATTGATAACAAGCACCCTCTTTTCTACTACGAAAGAAAAATCATATAACATTAATTCCAATAAAATAATCTTTCAAACTCTAAAAACTACATTACCACGAATGAGTGCCTTCAACTGAATTTAATTATTTTCGTAGACTGTTTGTTGTTGCACAGCCCACACCGATAGGGTTGGCTTGTTTTCATGTTTATTATTATTATTTGTAGACTGTTTGTTGTTGCACAGCCCACACCGATAGGGTTGGCTTGTTTTCATGTTTATTATTATTATTTTGACTCCGGTTCACAAAGATTTGGACTTACTTCACAAATCTTTGAAAATACAATTATTAGTGGAGATTTAACGAACTTGCGTCATAAATGTGAAAAGGACCAGAACCCAACTCTTGTTCATGCTCGCGTGTGGATCCCTCATTACTCACCTTAAACCTCCTCTCTCTCCTCGGAATCTGCCTCAATTCACGGTGAGATTAACTTAAATTAATTTTTCAGATCTAGCAGCATCCAAAATCTCATTAATATAGCTAACAACCTTGCCGCTCAATTTACTGCCCAAATCAAGGGTTCGTAGCATCCAAAATCTCATTAATATAGCTAACAACCTTGCCGCTCAATTTACTGCCCAAATCAAGGGTTCGTATATGTTTGTTGAATTTGGATCTTCGTAACAACCTTGCCGCTCAATTTACTGCCCAAATCAAGGGTTCGTATATGTTTGTTGAATTTGGATCTTCGCCATTCATCGTTCTGTAACCACAAAAACGAAAAAAAAAAAAAAACAAAAAAGGGAAAAAAAAGAAAGAAAAAGAAAAAAAAACCCACTTTTGGAATCAAACTAGTTAATTTATACCTAAAGTTATTGTGATCTTTCTTTCCTAAATATCAACTAATAGTACGGTCCATAATTGTTAAAGGTTCTTTCAACGCACCAAATCTTTAAAAATTTAACAAGACTAAGGGTAATAATTTATATTCTGGCATTTTTTCACACGCGCAACGTTTTTTTTTTCATGGGTTGAAATCTGAACCGCGCAACATTAAATATGTGTCCAGTGGATTTGAATCATTAAAATGTTACTTGAGCGACCTAAATCCAGATACCCCAGGTCGATACTACCGTGTAAATCCAGATTTTAGCTTGTGGAAAAAGAGACTAACCTACAACGATATTTTAGAATGTGAAATTACAACCCTCAATCCTTATCGCATTTATGAACCGCTGGTGCCTTGGAAGAAAACTTTGACATTAGTTTCGCTCGTTTCCGCTTTTCATTTTAGATGGACTACGATCGTGGATAGGAAATTATAATTAAAGTGGACTTCTTACGGTCTTATCAATCAAAGAAGAGAAATGCGAAAAAAAAAAAATTTAGATCTCTAAATTCAGTTAGACATTATCACATGGTGTGCAGATCTATTAACAATTAATATCAAAAAAAGACATGGAGAATAGGTATATTAATATCAGCCTTAAAAAAAATCAAATATAGAATTTGGTTTTAGCTCTCACAAGACAACATCGAAGTAAATGTTGCCCCTCGCAAAGTCGTACTAGAACTCCGCTCTACAGTAACTATATTTTAATATTATCAACATTAAAATATCAAACATATGTTTTAATTTACACCGCCAATTTATGCTGTGAATCTGTGCTCACAATAGTTAAAATTTTCCCGCTTTATTGATCCCTAACACTTGGGAACTGTGAAACTTCCTCCTCCCTAAAACATGCTAAACATTAGAATTAAAAATTTATTTATTTAACATGAAAATTAAGATCAGTGTGAATGTGATCACATACTCCACACCGAGCATATATCTCAAAAAACTATTAAGGGGAGATGTTAAAACAGTAAAGATTCTATGAGAACAATTTCTGTAAGAGTGAGTTGATCTATATTATAAATATAATATAAAAAAATGTAATTTTTAAATTAACTTTCTAATATTATATGTGAATGGTATAGATCAATTATTTTTACAGAGTATTCTTAAGAGAACACCTGCTCAATGTGAAGCTTTACTCCCCAAAATATACTCTTAACTAGTAGTTAATCTTTTCAGTATTTCTTTGTTCCTTCTATTAGGGGGTGTTTGTTTCACCAATTTTTTTTGGCATTTGGTATGGATTACAAGTTTTGGGATCAAAATGTGAGTTTTTTTAATTTATTTGGGATTTCATATATGGTGTTTGTTTTAAGAAATTTTTTAGATTATTGAATCCCAAAAGTGCAAAAAATGCATAATCTTAAGAATTTGACAAATCTTCTCAATTGGAGAGGATTTTGATAAATCTCATAAATGCCTATAAATGGTTGTGCTTACCTCTCAATTAGAGAGGATTTGACAAATCCTAATTTTGTCTTTTTGTGGGAGGTAACCTCACAAAGATAGCATATTCATCATATTACAAAATCTTAGTATTTGATAATGCTACAATTTGAGCTTGAAACAAACAAAATATTATAAATTGTAGTATTTCAAATCCCAAAATGTTAATGAAACAAATAACATTTTAAAAATCACAACTCATAACAAAACACCTATAAATTTTAAATCCCACGGTGAAATCCATATTCTAAAATTATAGGATTTGAAACAAACACTCTCTATTGTATTACTATCAGAATTTTGGATTCTATTGTCGTACGAATTACTATTCTACTACTATAAGAGAGTCTCGTGAGAGGGTGAGTTTCCTTCTTTTGTTCTCTTCTGCTCTTTGTTTGTTGCCATTTCCCATTTGCTCACCCTGTGGACAAAATTTTGCATCCCTTTCTTCCCATAAAAAGAAAGAAAAATTGTGAAAGCGATGAGCGTCTGCTTTGTGTTGAGGAAACAGTGTCAATGCTGAGCTTCTGAGGTTTTGTTAAGGTTGTGATTTTTCTGGTAATTTGTTAGATTTTTGTTCAATACCCACTTGCATTTTTTTTCCAACACTAGAATTTGAGAGCATAGAGCTCCGATTGCTTGGTAAAAGTTACTTCTTTATTTTTTTTTACAATCCGATTTCACTTTTTCTTGAAGTGCATGATTTTGATGGGACCGGTCTCTATCTATTAAATGCAACTGTTTCTTCTTCTTCTTCTTCTTCTTCCCCTTTTCCTCTTATCCTGACAACCGATCTCCTCATTCCGTGTGTTATGATCTCTCTTTGCATAGTTTTAGCAATTCTTGATTTGGGTTTCTGTTCAATTCTCCATTAAAGGAGACCCTTTTCTCCATTCCCCTATCCTTCCCTGGTGTGCTGAAAGAATTGGGCTTTCTTATTTCCACATGAGTTGCTTTTAGGAGTTCTTGATTTGGGTTTCTCTTGAACTCCACATTGAGATACCCAATTCATTACTCGGGGTTCCTGTGAATTCTGCATTGAGTGAGACCTTGAATTCCATAGTGAGATTCTTTTCCTAATTCGCGCAAGTTCATTTGTAGGAGTAGCTGATTTGGGCATCTCTTCAATCCCCAGTTGAGCAAAGGCTATGTCGAGGCCACTGTACCGAGGGCTCTCCGGCGGTGGTCGGATCACTAGCCTCGCCGCCCACGATGTGTTCGATGAAGATTTCAAGCCAAAGGACCTCTCTGGTAATGGATTCGGGCACGATCTATCAAGCCCAATGACCCCTGGTAGAACTAAACATAGCGTCACCATTTCCCTTCTCAAACTTGGCCTAGCTATCACTATCCTTGCCGCACTGTCGGTCTCCTTCTACTGGACATTATCCCTCTCCGTAGCATCCCCAGTTACCATTCATCGTAGCTACCGAAGACTTCAAGAACAGCTCATTACTGATCTCACTGATATAGGAGATCTCTCTGTTGGTACTGCCAAATCTAAAGATTTGGAATTTTGCCCACCCGAATACGAGAATTATGTTCCTTGTTACTATAATGTTTCAGAGAGTTTAGATTCGGTGGAGCTGTCTGACGTCTCAGCGGAGTATGAAAGACAGTGTCCTCGAGGAGCAGAGAAGGAGAGGGCTTGTTTGGTTCTGCCACCGAGGAATTATAGGATTCCTTTGAGGTGGCCGTCAGGGAGGGACTTTATTTGGAAGGGGAATGTAAAGATCAGTGGACAAGAGTTCTCGTCTGGGAGCTTAACCAAGAGGTATAATCTTGATCCCTTGTTTGCTTCACTTGGCTGTGGTTGGTCTGTAGATTTATGTTAGTTTTCTTTTGAATACAGGATGATGGTGGAAGAAGAACAGATATCGTTCAGGTCAGATTCGCTTATGGTTGATGGGGTAGAAGACTACTCACATCAGATAGCTGAGATGGTTGGGCTGAGAAATGAGTCAAACTTCAATGAGGCTGGGGTGAGTTCATTATTTAGTTTAACTAGATTTTAAGCTGGAGCAAGTATGGGTGAATTTAGTGTATTACATACATCCATTTTCTTTTTATTTACACCATCAGAAGGTTGGAAGAAGAACAAGAAAGGAAATAAGTTTAAGTTCTCATGCCGTCTTTAACTGTGGAATTGCTTAGTTTGCTAAATAATGTATACCTTGTTTTAGCTTGTTGTGTTGGAAACAGATCAGCGGTTGAGGGCTAACACTTCGAAAAACCAAACATTTTGAATTGACATGTGCCTCAAGTTATTACTTTGTTGTTATCTTGTTTGCTTTTCTTTTAGTTTTCTTAGCTAACTAAAAATTCTTAATCAGTTCAACTCAAATATCTTCTCCCTTTTATAGCATGTCTCAAGTTTTATCATTTTTCCCTTCTGATTCCTATTTAGTTTCTTTTCATAGATGTTAAGACATAAATGTGATTTAATATTGACCCCCGAAATGGTGCAGGTTAGAACTGTGTTAGATATTGGGTGTGGCTTTGGCAGCTTAGGAGCGCATCTTTTCTCAAAACAGCTTCTAACAATGTGCATCGCAAACTACGAGCCCTCAGCATCTTTTCTCAAAACAGCTTCTAACAATGTGCATCGCAAACTACGAGCCCTCAGGTAGTCAAGTTCAACTTACTCTTGAGAGAGGTCTACCTGGTGCATCGCAAACTACGAGCCCTCAGGTAGTCAAGTTCAACTTACTCTTGAGAGAGGTCTACCTGCCATGGTTGGTTCATTTGCATCAAGACAGTTGCCATTCCCATACCTCTCTTTTGATATGGTACACTGTGCAAGATGTGGAGTCGACTGGGAGAAGAATGGTATGTTTTTTCTCTTATACTATATTTCTTATTCAGACTTTGTGGTAAATTCTAGATGATTGACTTCGTTTCTGGTTCAGTTGAATGCAAAACTATTGATCAATCATCTACTAGTTGATTTGTGCATTTAACTTTTACTCAAAATGACTTGTTCTTTTAACTTAGAGATATACCTTGCCCGTCATGTTATTAAAAGTTTCACTGTAATGGCCTTTTATGGTCTTACCTATTTTATCATAATGAACAATACTTTTCAACTTATCTATATTTTGGTGAGATGGATACAGTATCATAGGTTCATCTGGGTATGTCAGACACATGATTTTATCATAATTTAGGTATCAGTACAGCGCGAAATTCTATATCCACTTGTATGCGCTAATATATTATGAACTAGGCAAATTGGCATTGATCAAACACAAAAATATTATGAGGATTTGGTACAAACACTTGGCTTGAATCTATTTTAGGTCAGGAAGGAGGGTGTTGAGGACAAATATACTACGTGGGAAATCTTGGGAAGGGATATTAAAGACCTCAAAATAGAAAAATAGATGTGTCTACATAAAAATTAGTAGCAGAGGCTCATGTATAGAACTGACTCGATATGATATGTATGCTTGCATCTACATAAAAATTAGTAGCAGAGGCTCATGTATAGAACTGACTCGATATGATATGTATGCTTGCATGTATACAGGGCGTGACTGCTTTATAGGCATAGTTGGACCTACATGTGAATTGGTAAGCTATGCATTAAAAATATCACCATTAACATATCCCATATTGGTCAATAAGAGAGATTACATCAGCTTAAGAAAAATGTTTAGATTCAATGAAGTAGGCTTATAATGTGAATATGCCTCACTGAATTGGATACTAAATCATTTGCTTTGATCATGACATGCTCATTAAGATACTATCAATTCTTATGTAACAGTGTATCCAGCGTATTTTTTTGTTGGGAAATGCTTATCTTGAATCTTGCATTATGAAGTTGAATAAATAACATTTGAACTGACTGATGCAGATGGTATTTTCTTGGTCGAAGTGGACAGACTTTTAAGGCCTGGAGGTTATTTTGTATGGACTTCAGTTTCAAACTCTCATAGATCTCTACGTGACAAAGAAAATCAAAAGAAGTGGACACAAATTCGCGACTTTGCTGAGAACCTCTGCTGGGATATGTTATCTCAACAAGATGAAACCATTGTCTGGAAGAAAACAAGTAAAAAGAAATGCTACAGTTCTCGGTATGGAAACATAGCCGAATATATTTGATAACAATTAATTGCTATTAGTTCATCTAACCTATCTAACCTGTTTGTATATTATAGGAAATCTGGCCCTTCAATATGTGGCAAGAGTCATGACACTGAATCCCCATACTATCAACTACTTAATCCCTGCATAGGAGGAACCAGAAGTCAGAGATGGATTCCTATTGAAGACAGAACACCTTGGCCTTCTCGGGTTAATCCAAACTCAACTGAACTTGCAATTCATGGTAATTCAAAATGATCATATTTTAAACTGTAATTTCTTTTTACACCGATTGACAATTGTATTTTTTCGTTCATCAGATTTGCACTCAGAGGACTTAGCCGAGGACGCGTTAAATTGGAACTCTGCTGTTCGCAACTATTGGTCTCTTCTTTCACCTCTGATTTTCTCGGATCATCCAAAGAGGCCTGGCGATGAGGATCCCTCTCCACCTTTTAACATGCTCAGAAACGTGCTTGACATGAATGCTCGATTAGGCGGGTTCAATGCTGCACTGTTAAATGCAGGAAAATCTGTTTGGGTTATGAATGTTGTTCCCACAAGTGGTCCAAATTATCTCCCTCTCATCCTTGACAGGGGATTTATTGGCGTTCAGCACGACTGGTATGTATTTAAACCTTCTAAAGAAAATCTTCATATTTTGTGTTATTTGCAATATATTCACTAGGACCACAGCATTCTAAGTCAGGACAATCGCTAATTTACATTTACCTGTATCTGCTAAGATGTAAAGGCTTGGCCTAACACCAACTATATTGGCCTGACAGTGGGTTATTATCGCTATGCCTGTCAAGGAGCCACACTTGATTACCACATTCTAACTGGCTCATCCTTAGCCTTTCTTCTTGTGTCTTTAATAATGTGATTAATATGGTTGAAACTCAACAATGATCGTGCATTATGTTCATTTGAAAACTAAGAAAACGTTGGAGAACTCAGACATAAGTTGATGCTAAAATTATGTGTAGTGTACATTATCTAGGTTAGAGAGATGATATATAATTTGCAGAAATGCAGCATGCCTAGGTGTCTGAAGGAAAACTTTTTGAAACAGCAATAGACCCTGAGACGGTGTATGTGTATATTAAATATGGTGTAGGAGATGCAACAAACAATTAAGCACAAGTCAATGAATAACATACTTAGATATGCTTGGCATGTACAACAAAGAAATGGAATACCATGATGACTTATTTTCAGAATAAAGGGGTGTAGAAGAGGAGAGAAAGCCTAAATTAACCTCTGTAGAAGTCATACGAGTTTGAGTTCATTTCTATCTGATGAAGATAAATGGTCTGTTCAGTAACATATCTAGTGAAGATGAATTATTCATGAGAGTGCCGATTATTAATGCATTCCCCCCCTACCCTTTTGGATAATTTACTCAAATAGGCTGTTTCCCTAGTTTTTCTCTCAAATTGGAATTAGTAATATTAGTAATCCTATTGAATTTCAAGTACGTGTTCATAGATTTGTGTATCACCTCTATCGTTGGGGTAAATAGATCTGTATTACTATGCATCACGTACAGTTCTTTATGTCAACCATATTCTTTTTATAGATGCATTTTGTGTTCGTCAAAGCAATAACTTTTGTCTTTGATTAGGTGTGAAGCATTTCCAACATATCCGAGAACTTATGATATGGTGCATGCTGAAGGATTACTATCACTTATGACTCCTCATCTCCATAGGTGTTCAACATTTGATATATTTATGGAGATTGATCGCATTCTGCGGCCAGAGGTACTGCAATGCTCCTTTTGGTATTTAACTTTGACATCAGCATGCTTCTTTTGGTATTTCTTTGTGGTAGCAAAAATAATGTAAAATGTAGAGTCTTTTCACTGATCAGTGGGAATAGCAATCCAAACGAAGTATGTAGCGTATAAACTTTATGCTATTTGGGTTAAATCTTGTATAGGCACCAGCAAAAAACTAAGGACATCCTTGGACCATCTCACTTCAGGTCCTAAGTTATGCTTTCCAGTAGTTTGCCTATGGGCCAACTTGATATCTAAAAATTAACTTCTTGGAATTTACTGATCGTGGAGTAGGATGCTAAAGAAATAATGTTTATTCAAATTGATGCGAGTGTCAGCAGCCTAATAATGCCCAGCCAGTTTATTAATTGATGATCCTTAAATCCATAGATCAAGGTCTAATTAGTATTACATAATGCGATTTGAAGATTTTATTTCTTTGTTACACACATTATAGGAGGAATGTTGTTTATCCTAGCAAATTGATATTTAATAATATCTTGTGCCCAGATTTGTTTTTAGTTAATGTGAATAGTAGGTTTAATATCTAGATAATTTTTGTATCTATGAGAATAAATCACATGCAAACGAAAATATACAAATAAAACACTTACAGCTACAATAAATCACCGTCCTTCGTTAACGTACTGATACAACCAAATTTGTCTAACATTGTCATCATATGCAGGGTTGGGTGGTACTTCGTGATGAAGCTTCTCTTATTGAAAGCCTACGACCTCTAATAGCAAGATTAAAATGGGATTCTCGAGTGATGGGGCTCGAAGGGAACAGCGACCAGAAATTACTTGTTTGTCAAAAGCCCTTCTTCAGGAAACAACTGCAGTAAATCATCATTCACCATAAAGTTCAATCAAGCAAGCAAGTATATTGAAGTTTGCCAGAGAGGAGATAAAGTGAACTCTTCGGCACTTTCTATGGAGCCGTAAGGTCTCCATGGACCCTGTAATTATTCAAAATTTAGATCGAGGAATATTATAGGATAGGCATAGTTTTTTGAAATCAAAGATGGGTATCGAGGATACAGAGATGAGGCAGTCAAAGTGGCTATTACGTTGTGAAAATGGATATTGAATAAAGGAGTGATGCTGCAGTATATACATATATATACAAGGGCAATGGGCAATGCAGTGCATCATATTTGGGTATATTCTTTTCTTTCAATATATTCTTCTCTGTATTCTATAAGAGTGGATGTTCTTCATATTGTAGTTTTAGTTCGTATTCTGCTCACATCAGGTCAGGATCTGATACAAAATTCAATAAGCAAATAAGCATCTTATCCTCTACAAACTGTCTCAATTTATCTGAATCGGTGTATGCAAATATGGCTTTGCACAATCAATTACATACAACTACTTGGTAATCCATCTCAAACATGGTTTGTTTTACCAAATGAATATTAGATTCATGTGTTACAGGCTCTCTTATCTTATTGAATATGATATTAAAAAAAAAGAGCAAATTTCTAGGGATATAGTAGGTTCTCTTACAGGACATCCTTGAACCCGGATTTGCCCCTTTGGACGAGTGAATTCGGAACTTACAATCTCGCTCTTTCTTAAGGAGGGCCTTTGTTCGCATTTTACTGGAAATTTATTGAGTAAAGCTAGAATAAAGTAAGATGGATAGGAGTTCTTGTCCATGAACGTGTATTGAGATTCATGCTTTTCATAAAGGCTACAAGACGTGTGTCTTGATGTGTAAAACTAGACATTTTAGCATGGATCTCGAAACAAATCAATATATCACTAGTAGAAATAGAAGAATGTGCATCCTTGATGGGCTGCCATCAAGGATACGCCGTCAGCAAATGTCTTACCAAGAATGTAGCATCCTTAACTAGAGCCTGTCAAGGATAGGCATCGTTGACGGCTTATTCTTGAGGGCAAATCCCATCAAGAAAGTTTTGACATCCTTGACGGCAAAAACCTTCAATAATGAATGTAACATCCTTGACGGTGGCCCGTCAAGATGTTATTTACATATTTGTCGTCAAGGATGTAGGTCTACTGTCAAGAATACTTATAATATTAGAGGGGGCGACCCAATTTTTTTCCTGTATACAATCCATAATTTCCTAAATACAAAATATACAAATATTTTCCTGTATACAATATTTTAATCCAAAATGTACACACTCACATGAACAAAAAAAATATTCTCATCATAATATTCAAAACCAAACCACAATTCACATATACCAAAGACCCACTCAAGTACAACATTAAAAAATTTGGTGAACAAGAGCTACTATCCTTTATGTTTACAAGAACTTACTTGAAATTTATTTCTAATCATATTTAAACATAGACTTCTCTAAAATAAATTTTCTTTACTAGTCATAGACACTAATGTGATGGAGTCACATTTTGTCCTTTTGGTTAACTTTTTTGTTCGGAAAAAATGAAAAATACATCCAAAAGGAAGGCTAAAATTTTCATAATTCAGTTAAAAAAAGCTATAAAAATGTCATACTTCAATTTCAAAAAAAAAAAAAAAATGTATGTGTAGTATGGGAGAATATGTTTTTCTTTCCCTTTTCTTTCTTTTTCACTCTCTCAAAGAAGAGCTTTGTTCTATTTTTTTTTAAGTAAGTTTTTTTTGTTATCTTCCAAGAGTTTATCTCCCTTCGCTGGGAGATCAATAGTTCAGAGGAAATTTTTTCATGCACTTTGCTACTTTTTTTTAGAAATATGCTAATGATTATTCACTAGATCGTGCCAAGAGAATGTGGTTGGTTTTTATTTTGGTGACATATACTAGTGACATTTCCACAAACTACCTTCATCGACCTGAAACTCATTTATTCATTATTCTCAAATTCTTATGTATAGTTTAATAAAATATAAAATTTCATGTTTTTCTGAAGTTTTAGATTTGACTTGTCAAAATATCATTTAAAAAAACAAGCGTCAAACTATGAGCTATTATTAACTCTTTCTGAAAACAAACAAAGAAATGAAACGAAAGGATTTTACGTGCAATCTATAAACTCCAGGGGCTTTTCTGCAATTTACCCCCCAAAAAAAACTGTTCAACCCAAAATTTCCAAATTCGAGCGCAAAAAAAAAAAAAAAAAATCCCTCCCTTGTACCCCTTTCTCAAATCAATTCTGAAGCCTCGACCGCCATGGCGACAACGACGATAGTAGATTACAAATTGAACGGATAGGCTGCAGGTCGGTTTTTGAATTTTTTTTTAAACTTCACGGGAGTTTAACTCCCGTGAAGTTTAGCAGCTTTACTAAACTTCACGGGAGTTGAACTCCCGTGAAGTTTCGGAAGTTTTTTCACAAAAAACCGACTTGGTTTCAGCGCCAAGGCTAAAACTAGGTTGGTTTTTGCAAATAAGTTCAAAACAAGTCGTTTTTTAGGATTAAATGTTTAAATAGGGTGGTTTTGAAAATTTATCCTTTAAAAAAACAAGCGTCAAACTATAAACTATTATTAACTCTTTCTGAAAACAAAGAAAGAAATTAAACAAAAGAATTTTACGCGCAATCTATAAACGTCAGGGGCTTTTCTGCAATTTACCCAAAAAATGGTTCAACCCAAAATTTCCAAATTCGAGCGCAAAAAAATCCGTCCCTTGTACCCCTTTCTCAAATCAATCCCGAACCCTCGACCGCCATGGCGACGACGGCGATAGCAGATTACAAATTGAACGGATGAGCTGCAGGTCGGTTTTTGAATTTTTTTTTCAAAACTTCACGGGAGTTCAACTCCCGTGAAGTTTACCGGCTTTACTAAACTTCACAGGAGTTCAACTCCCGTGAAGTTTCGGAAGCTTTTTCACAAAAACCGACTTGGTTTCAGCGTCAAGGCTGAAACCAGGTCGGTTTTTACAAATAAGGCGGTTTTTGGAGATGGGTTGCCGAAAGGATGGAAGATTTTGTTGGGTTTGAAGAGGAAGGATGGGATTGTGTACTTGAATTGCCGGAGATATGTTAGGTTGGCTTCTTCAACCCTTTTGTTTTTGAATTGGAATATGCTTCGCTTGTTTCTTAAACATTTGTATTTGATATAGAGTCGACTACAATAGGTTATGAGAATCCTCTATTTTGTCCATAGTTCACCTTGTGAATTATGCAACTGCAATTTTGATGTTGGATTGGTAGTTGATCGCGCGCCATAACCCACGGTTGATGCTATGATTGTGTTGCCAGATTTGTGGTCACTATGATTTGACCTCATCATATTACACATGACGCCTTCCCAGTGGGACTGATGTATGAACTTAGGAGCATGACTTGCTATGAGATGTGTCGTAAATTTTGATTGAATTTCGGAGAAACTTTGTGATTGATCTTGATTCATATGCTGCAAGATGCTTTTTTGTTGACATTGCCCCCCTCTATCCTTGCTGTCTTCCTCTTGGAAAGATATGAAATAAATTGCTAGTATTGGTGAAGGATGAAGATAGAAGGTATAGCGGGAGTGGATGTTGATCTAATTGGACTGGAGTGTTGGAGGAGGATTCCTTTTGAGGAATGTGTTGTATAACAAAGCAAATTAGGACAAACTTAATATCATTTGTTTATCCAGAATTGTAATTATAAGGAATCAGACTTCACATTTTCGGATGTTATTTGGGAAGCATGTGAATGCTTTTCTAAGAGTTAGTTTTTGTTTATCAATGTGTTTTGGTAATCATCCAATATTCCAGCAGTTGATATTTTTTAGCGTTAAATCATATGTATGGTCAGATTTGCCCCCTTTTTTTGCCTCATTCAAAGTCATTAGCTTTTATCCTGAATCAAATTTTGATCATATCGTAAGAACCAATGATGTTTACTGTCAACTGGTTTAATGCAGAACCATGGTTTTCTCTTTTTAGTGGGTTGGCTTACTGCTTTATAATGATAACTATCTATTTTGGTGTTCTCTATTGAGCTCATGCTCACTTGGCTGGTTTTCACGGTATAGCTTTTGAACAATTTATGTTGGGCTACATAGTCTCATTTCATTAGGTCATACAAAAGTTGGTATGTCCTTTCCATTCTAATGCTCTGCATCTTTTTTTGGTTAACGCAGTATTAATTAGATTTCTTCAAACATATAGTTCCACTAACATTCTGTACTTTAACATACTTAAAAAAAAAAACCAGCCAATCTAGTTTATGTCCCTTCCCATTGGTCACCTTCCATCCAACCAAACCAAGCCTTAATATTTGACTGTTTGCCAATTAAGGAAGTTGGCTGTCGTTAAAAGCCCATGTTCTAACATTTTTGGGTTGTCTAGAAGCCCGTTATATGAGAGAATAAACACCGGTCGTTCAAATCCCATAATTGTTGTAAACGATAATATTTATCACAATATTTTGGTAATGACCGCGTAATTAAAAAAAGCTGCAGCCACGTCTGCATCTTCACTGATCAAAGCTACTGCCTACCAGGTGGTTGATAAATCGACCGAAGGAAGAACAACCCATGATTTTTTTTGAAACAGATAATATGGGTAAGACAAAACTTTGTTTTTGAGATGCATAATGAATTCCATTTTGTGGGTCTTAATCATTCTTAAGTGTCTATAATGTCTCATTAATTACGTCTCTCTGCAGTTTAGATTTAAGATGAACGATTAGCTGAAAGGAGTAGAGCATGAAATAGGAGGAGAGATGCATAAACAGGTAAATATATGCTCAACACTTACTTTGTTTTGCACTCTAGCTCCCTTTTGTTAACTTTTTGTAACATGATTAATTTTTTGCTTCTCTTAGATTTGTACATGATCCTGGTCTCATCTTTCTCTTAGCATATCCATGCAAATATTTCCCTCCAATATTTTCCTGCTTCATCAGTAACATGTGAAAGTACTTGCTTATGATCTTAATTGAATTCGGAAAATAAGATGGGCATAAATCTCTGTAGCATAAGTTGCTAACAAGTGGTTGGCTTTTGTACTTACTCATTTGAACCTCTTACCACCGTGGCATGTCATTGCTTTAGCCTTTGGGAGATATTTGGTTTAAGACCATATCGTCTTTGTCAAAAAGCAGATGTAATAATTGGCAGAAACATACAATGAAAACAAATTCTATTTGCGCACATTTTCATTTAGTTTTGCAAAATGAACTTTTATTTAAAAAAAAAACATTGGGCAAAAATAAATCATTTGATGGCCGACGCACGAGCAATCCAAGCACATACTTATGGAAGCACGTATGCTTCATGATGTATAAATTGAAGCGAAAAGCATGTGTCATCTACTGGATCATGTAGTTTTGTTGATAGAAACAAATTACAATACATTTCCTAAGAACGCTTACAAAAAGTTTATTGTAATTGTACAACATCTTCCACGTATATCTATGAGAACACATTTATTATAAGGGGTTTTTGCTTTTAGGCCCATTTGTTTACTCTCATTTATTTTTAAACCCAAGTACTATTATTTGTATCTTTAAGCCCAATTCACTTTTTGTATTTATCTTTAAACCCAAACTTCAAAATACAATACTTTCAGCACATGTATTTATACAGAATCCCAAAAATACCCCTTGGCCCCATATAAATATCTCTCCTCCTCCTCACCCTTTTCTCAACTCAGCCCTAAATTAAAAAATGAAAGCCCATTGCCGCCGTCGCCCATCTCCGGCCGTCGGCGCCCGTCTCCAGCAGTCGTCGCTCGTCTCTAGCCGCCCTCATCAACTCGACCCTCTCCAGATGCCCATCGAACTCAATCTCCCTCAGCTTCTTCCTCTGGTGCTCTCGCCAGCCCGACTTCTTCCACGCCCGCGACTCGCTCGATGTAATGATCCCCGTCCTCTGCCGCTTGACATTCAAGCTCAGGTCCGTCGCCGACATTGTGGAGGAGCTGGAGGCTATCGGGTCTCCTGCGGAGGCCAAAACTTTCCTGATCTTGATGAGGGTCTACTGCAGAGGGGACATGTTTATCTTCGCCCGAGAGGTGTTTGATGAAATGGGTAGGAGAGGGTTCGTGCGGAACACGCTTGCGAGAAATTTGATTATCGATGGGCTGTTTAAGAGCGGTCAGTTTTGCGAAGGGATGAGATTTTTTAGAGAGACCCAGATGCCGAATTTCTTTACTTTTAACATTGTGATGAGAAATCTTTGCGAGCACGGGGATTGGCGAGAGGTGTGAGGAGTTTTGAGGGAGATGGTTAGGAGAGGATTTCAGCTCAACGTTGGGTCATTTACTTCAAGTTTAGATTGTTTTAAGAAGGTGGGGAGAATCAAGGAGGTCTTTCAGTTGATGGGGTTTATGCTTGTTTCAGGTCTGCGGCCTACCGTGGAGATTTGGAGAATTTTGATTGCCGTGTTGTGCCAAGCTGGCAACGTTCCTTTGGGTTTTGGTTTGTTTGGAAAAATAATAGATTCGGGAAGTTTGCCGACTGTTGTGACGTATACATTTCTTATTAAAGGGCTCCTAAAAGCTCGAATGTTGAGCGAAGCGATTGGTGTTTGGGATATTATGGTCATTGCCTCCGTTGCCGTCGACCGCCGCCTCACCGCCCTCGACACGAAGCTATATTGATGTGTTGATGTGTTTGTAATGTACGAGTGTGTTGATGTGTTTGTAATGTATGGGAGCGATTGGTGAGATGTAATTCACATGAGGAGGTGGTGAAGTTTTTTTAAGAACTGGTTTTATTAAGCGTGAGATGTACTTACAGATTAACGTGTTATACTTACTGGTTAACATGCTATACTTACAGGTTAATGTGTTATACTTACAGGTTAACGTGCTATACTTACTAGATAACGTGCTATACTTACAGGTTAACGTGCTATACTTACTAGATAACGTACTATACTTACAGGTTAATGTGCTATACTTACAGGCTAACATGCTATACTTAAGGGTTAACGTGCTATACTTACTAGTTAACGTGCTATACTTACAGGTTAACGTGCTATACTTACTGGTTAACGTGCTATACTTACAGGGTAACGTGCTATACTTACTGGTTAACGTGCTATACTTACTGGTTAACGTGCTATACTTATAGGATAACGTGCTATACTTACAGGGTAACATGCTATACTTACAGGATAACATGATATGCTTACAGGGTAACGTGCTATACTTACTGGATAACGTGCTATACTTACAGGATAACGTGCTATACTAACAGGTTAATGTGCTATACTTACATGTTAACATACTATACTTACTGGTTAACGTGCTATACTTACAGGTTAACGTGCTATACTTACAGGATAACGTGCTATACTTACTGGTTAACGTGCTATACTTACAGGATAACGTGCTATACTTACTGGTTAATATGCTATACTTACTGGTTAACGTGCTATACTTACAGGGTAACGTGCTATACTTACAGGTTAATGTGCTATACTTACAGGTTAACATGCTATACTTACAGGTTAACGTGCTATACTTACTGATTAACGTGCTATACTTACAAGTTAATATGCTATACTTATAGGTTAACGTGCTATACTTACTGATTAACGTGTTATACTTACAGATTAACGTGCTATACTTACTGGTTAACATGCTATACTTACAGGTTAACGTGCTATACTGATACGTGTTGCCGTACGAGTACCTTTGATCGCGGAATTATCAAAGGTGGGTTGAGGAGAAAACAATTAGAACACAAGAATAACTGATGAGTCGACTGATCAGAAACTTTTGCTAACAAGACTTGATTTCTTGAGTCGACTCAAAACTGTATATGAGTCGACTCATGACTGATGAGTCGACTCATAAACTGATGAGTCGACCGAGCAGAAACTTTTGACAAAACGGCTGCATTAAGTGAGTCGACTCATGACAGGCATGAGTCGACTCAACCTGATGAGTCGACTCATGTACATGTATGAGTCGACTCACGAGCTGAAAACTGGATTCTTCGAATCTGCTGCACGTTAACCTGTAATTATAGCACGCTAATCTATAAGTATAGCACGTTAATCAGTAAGTATAGCATGTTAACCTATAAGTATAGCATATTAACTTGTAAGTATAGTACGTTAATCAGTAAGTATAGCACGTTAACCTGTAAGTATAGCATGTTAACCTGTAAGTATAGCACATTAACCTGTAAGTATAGCACGTTACCCTGTAAGTATAGCACGTTAACCAGTAAGTATAGCACATTAACCAGTAAGTATAGCACGTTACCCTGTAAGTATAGCACGTTAACCAGTAAGTATAACACGTTTCCCTGTAAGTATAGCATGTTAACCTGTAAGTATAGCACGTTAACCAGTAAGTATAGCATGTTAACATGTAAGTATAGCACATTAACCTGTAAGTATAGCATGTTAACCTGTAAGTATAGCACATTAATCTGTAAGTATAGCACGTTATCCAGTAAGTATAGCATATTAACCAGTAAGTATAGCACGTTATCTTGTAAGTATAGCATGTTATTCAAGAAATCAAGGGAAGACAATGGTGAGTATAGCACGTCATATCCAGCTTCACTACTATTTTCCTTGCCCTTTGCTAGCACTTGCATTCAACTAACATCCACATTAAATTACCAGAATTTATTTTCAAGGGTAAAAAGATAACTTCATCAGGCTTCAACACATAACATATGTTAACCCCCATCAATTACCATCATACTAAATCAAGTAAGTAGATAAACTACACCATAGTACTCTAAATATTATTCTCAATCAACTGAATTTTAATTACATCACCATAAAAAATTAAGCATAATTATGCAAAAATAAATAAATATAGCATCCAAATAAAACCAGTTCTTAAAAAAACTTCACCACCTCATCATGTGAATTACATCTCACTAATCGCCCCCATACATTACAAACACATCAACACACTCGTACATTACAAACACATCAACACATCAATATAGCTTCGTGTCGAGGGCGGCGAGGCGGCGGTCGACGGCAACGGAGGCAATGACCATAATATCCCAAACACCAATCGCTTCGCTCAACATTCGAGCTTTTAGGAGCCCTTTAATAAGAAACGTATACGTCACAACAGTCGGCAAACTTCTCGAATCTATTATTTTTCCAAACAAACCAAAACCCAAAGGAACGTTGCCAGCTTGGCACAACACGACAATCAAAATTCTCCAAATCTCCACGGTAGGCCGCAGACCTGAAACAAGCATAAACCCCATCAACTGAAAGACCTCCTTGATTCTCCCCACCTTCTTAAAACAATCTAAATTTGAAGTAAATGACCCAACATTGAGCTGAAATCCTCTCCTAACCATCTCCCTCAAAACTCCTCACACCACTCGCCAATCCCCGTGCTCGCAAAGATTTCTCATCACAATGTTAAAAGTAAAGAAATTCGGCATCTGGGTCTCTCTAAAAAATCTCATCCCTTCGCAAAACTGACCGCTCTTAAACAGCCCATCGATAATCAAATTTCTCGCAAGCGTGTTCCGCACGAACCCTCTCCTACCCATTTCATCAAACACCTCTCGGGCGAAGATAAACATGTCCCCTCTGCAGTAGACCCTCATCAAGATCAGGAAAGTTTTGGCCTCCGCAGGAGACCCGATAGCCTCCAGCTCCTCCACAATGTCGGCGACGGACCTGAGCTTGAATGTCAAGCGGCAGAGGACGGGGATCATTACATCGAGCGAGTCGCGGGCGTGGAAGAAGTCGGGCTGGCGAGAGCACCAGAGGAAGAAGCTGAGGGAGATTGAGTTCGATGGGCATCTGGAGAGGGTCGAGTTGATGAGGGCGGCTAGAGACGAGCGACGACTGCTGGAGATGGGCGCCGACGGTTGGAGACGGGCGCCGACTGCCGGAGATGGGCGACGGCGGCAATGGGCTTTCATTTTTTAATTTAGGGCTGAGTTGAGAAAAAGGTGAGGAGGAGGAGAGATATTTATATGGGGCCAAGGGGTATTTTTGGGATTTTGTATAAATACATGTGCTGAAAGTATTGTATTTTGAAGTTTGAGTTTAAAGATAAATACAAAAAGTGAATTGGGCTTAAAGATACAAATAATAGTACTTGGGTTTAAAAATAAATGAGAGTAAACAAATGGGCCTAAAAGCAAAAACCCCTTATTATAAACACGCTTCACACATGAGACCTTCTACTTCTTGATTGCTAATGCCAGCTAGGACCCTATACTGAACTTTACATTCCAACAAAGCAACCAACACAGATCGTTTACATATAAATTCATTAAGCTGGGGTTACTGGAAGGAAACCATGGTTCAGAGCTCAAGACCAAACTTTCTCAATGTCAAGCATTCTATCTCCGCACTCGTGTTCATTCCATCCCTCCAATGCATGAATTATCCCAGCGACACCCCATGCGCTCATCACTCTTCTTGGTAGCCAATTCTGTCATGTATAATCAAAGAGATCATAGAGATTTGAGATAAGCCATATTATATTCATGTGCTCATATCAAAGCGGCTCCTAAAGTTTTTTAGGTACCTCACAACAATGCATGTTTTCCAAAGCCTCTGGGATCTTCATTGCTGGTGTGCTGTAATATTTACAGTCCTTTTGTAGGTTCTTTGGGGGAAACTGTGAAAAGGGACTGATGTGTGTGCCTGATGAGAACAAGAATTGAAATTTTTCCATATTAGCTTAGTTTTAATTTTTAAAATTTGAATTTTAAATTTTGAATTGTTGTTGAATTTAGTAGTTAATAAGTGAGAGATTTGAGGGATTCTGTGTGAGATTTCAAATTTTGTAATTGCTCTATAAAAGCATGGTTGTAATCAGAATGAAATTATTGAAGAATAAAAAATAAAAATTATCTTGCTTGATTGTGGTGTGAAACCGTAGCAGTAATTTCGTTTTTCTTCTCTGCGGTCATTAAAAAAAATCGCTACTGTTCATCTTCTTCCTCAGACAATCATAACCCAACCCCACCTCCCTCTTCCCAGTTCAACGCC